CACCGAAGCCATAGCCTTTGTCTAAAAGAGTTAATAAAAACACGGTGCGTAAATGAAAATAAAAACTTATTTATATAAATTTTTTATTGACAAATCTTTTTAATAAAAAAATGAAACATGATTTACTGTATGAATTAAAAGTGGGGTCTTCTTTAACATCCTTTTTTGATTCGTCACTGTAGTAGTTGTTTCCATATCCGTACCCTTTGCTGTTTAATCCACCTCCGTATCCTCCGTACCCTTTGTTGTATAATCCACCTCCGTATCCACCGAAGCCATAGCCTTTGTCTAAAAGAGTTAAAAAAAACACTGTTCGTAAATGAAAATAAAAACTTATTTATATAATTTTTTTATGACAAATCTTTTTAATAAAAAAATGAAACATGGTTTACTGTATGAATTATAAGTGGGGTCTTCTTTAACATCCTTTTTTGATTCGTCACTGTAGTAGTTGTTTCCATATCCGTATTCTTTGTTGTAAAGTCCGCCTCCGTATCCTCCGTAACCTTTGTTGTATAATCCACCTCCGTATCCACCGTAGCCATACTCTTTAAAACAGTTATTAAAATAAATTACATTAAAAGTAAAAATAACATTCGTATTTACATATAAAAATTAAAACAACTTTTATAAAATTCTATAATGTATGTTTACAATAGTAATTTATAATAATAAAAAAAGTGCTTTTAAGATTTAATATAGGTTAAACAAAGTAATAAACTGTAATTTTTAGTTTTTTTATTTATTATTAAATAATTATAAAATTTGTACTAAAACTAATATGGAACAATTATAAAACAAAATTTTTAAAATCTACCGTTTCCTTTATTTTTCAAATTTAGTATCTTTCCACTTCTTGCATAAACACAAAGGTTTAGGAAAACCATAAACAATATGTTTATTTTGTCCATAGTTTAAGTAAGGTTGAATAAGATATACCTAAATAACACAAACTGCACATACTAGCACACTCAAAACATTGCCTTTTTATAGCATATTTAACTTCCTTGTTATTGACGCAAATAAACGAACTAACTCAGAATTACAATGCAAAAACTTATATAAGGTATTTTTATTACTTGTTGTGGGTGTGCGTTAATTTTTCAGCGCATTATTTTGAACAGTGTTTAGGTCGAAATATCAAAAACTGCCCTTTTGGATAGTATATTTCTCGACGAATATCCTATAACTTTGATTGGGAATGATTAAATGCACTTCAGTATATTCAATTGACAGAGACAAGAAAATTACAACCAAACGTTTTTCTGAAGAATTTTTCTGTAATAGTTTAATGACCGATTAAATATTCTGCATTGTATGACATTCATTTAAAATTGTAATATTCATTGAAAAGTAATGTTTCATTCGTAGCTGTAATGACTTATATAGGCTATTACAAAATAATATTTTATAATGTTTATGAATAGCGGAATAAGCATTTTATGTATTTTAACTATGTTTGAGAATTAGCAACTTTAAGTAAATTTTAACTGCACATGATTAAGATGATTAAAAGAAAAATAAGAGATGTTACGTACTGATCGCATTAGAAAAACGTCCATCTGAATAATTTTTCCAACGTCTTAAAATATGCACCGCATAAAACTAGAAACGTATAGTATTTAGGAGAAAACATCATTGTTAAATGTATTTATACTTTCACCTTATTTTTTCATCTAATAAAAATATGGTTATCTTTTTTCTTCACTTTAATATTTTGGAACAGGAAGCAGTTTTTACTTTTATTGTAAGAAAATGATTTTATAAAACAAACACTGTCATTGTTCATAAAATAAAACAAATAATTTATGAATAAACTCATTTTACATGCGTTTGCTTAACTAAAGTAATTACTTTTCTGAAGAATGTTTTTTTGAATTTTCAGTGAAAGGCAAGGGCGTATTAACCTTAACATTAAAAGTTATGCTAAAATATTAATGTGTATCACTGACTACAGTGAGTGACTGTTTAACCACTTTTGACTATATTTAAAAATGAAATCGACTTTAATTAACTATTTAAAGAGATACTCGATAGTAAGTCTTCATATGCTTCTACAAGTTTTCCTTTACAACAAAATGTATATATCTGAAGTAACAAAAAATTTCTTGTTTTTTTTGTTTTTCTCCTTTTATTCTTTTATTTTTAAATAATACTGGTAGTTTTTGTGATAAGAAACACAAGTTATTTACGCTATACTCACTTATACTTGTTAAGCTACTTTTTATTATGCTCTGTAGTGGTTTTTTTTTTTCTATATATATTTTTATAACTACATAGTTTTAACAATACATACTTTTATTACAAATGGTTTTAACAATATATACTTTATTACAAATATAGTCAAAATGCTTCAAAAATTACTGAAAAAATATTGAGAATTATTTGATGTACAAAGTAATAAAATAAAATAAAATAGTTTTACAGTCTATATTTTGAAAAGACAAAAGAAGTCTTAAAAAAGGAAAAAAAACCTTAGTTTTGTAGTCAAGGAAAACTTGCAGAAAGCTGTGTGAAGTCTACCCATCGAGAACCCTAATATGTTGCATTATATTATGCCATGTAGGTATAACATAACGATATGTAAATTTACTAAAGTTGTAAAAAAAAAAAAAAAAAAAGTTATAACGCTTATTTTAGTTTTATATGTTTCGCAATCATTATCTTCAGTTATTATAACAGACTCATGAACTTGTTTGATAGAATTTGGAGATGATGATTCTGAAATTGCAGAAAGAAAACTTGGTCGGGTATGATGGATTTCACAATAACATCAGCTATAATTTCTGCAGTGGCGGATTAAGACTTCTTAGGGCCCGGGGCTATTTTTGGTTTTAGAGGCCTTTTTATGGGCTAAGGCCTAAAAATGTGAAAAAAAAAAGACAATGCTATCTCAGCAGTCTGTAGGTCTGAAACAACACCAAGTTCATGCATCATCTGCTCCACAGTTGTGCAGTGTGGGATATCACTGAAACAATATCCTGTGTGTTCTCCAATTTTATGGAGTAGCAGTGGCACACTGTGAGAAGGATCATGATACATAAACATGTCATATATGAGAGCCCTAATACTTGTTGAGTAACTTTTTGGAATGTCTTGAATTTTGTTCCATCTCCTGTAAAGATTCCAATTTCTCTTGTAATATCAACATGTCATTCTGCAGGACTTGAATCTCTACATTTTTGTTAACAAGATGCTTTTGTAATGTTGCTGTTACAGAAGACAACTGGTTCTGGGTTAACGCTAAATGCCTTTTCAAATAAAGATTACCATTTTGAAGTTGCTTTACCTTTAAGTTGGAAGAATTTTTGTTTAGCTTCTCACCCTGTTGACGAATTGTTATTTCTTTTCGAGCAATAGTCTGATTAAATTGCTTAAGCCAATATGTTTTTGATCGAATTTTTTCTCTCAAAGATTTAAAATCCTTTTTATGTTTTAGACTTTTTGTGGCAACTTCTTTGGCCAATATATATAACTTCTGTTTAAGAACTTTTTTTCTAGAAGTCAGTTGGTTATCTCCCAACTTGGGGAACAGTAGTTGTGAATCAAAAGATGAAGTACCAGAATTTGACAAACCCAGTGGGCACAGACGTAAAAAAAGCGTCTTTTAAACGTCTTATACACGTTTTAGACGTCTTTTAAACGTCTTTTAAACGCTTTAGACGTCTTTTGAACGTTTAAAAGACGTCTTTTTTTTGGTCCGGTGCCCGCTAGGAGGAATCAGCACATGATTGAGTTGAGCTCTTTGGTGCAATGGGGATTAAACAATGCTTAGAATTGGATGTAAATGATGCATTGTAGACTGTTGTAGGCACTGTAACAGCTGCAATGTCAGGTAAAATAGTTGAAGAAATTGAATTAAAAAATACTTCTGAGCAAATTTTTTTACAACTTTTTCATATCATTTAATATTGTTTTTTTTATATTTTTTGATACTGCAACTTATCAAATGCCTAATTTGATTTTTACTTGTAGAAAAACCAAATCTTTCAAAAATATTTTTTTCTGTTTTAGTAGCGGAAAATCCATTTTGAATATACAAATAAATAACATGTCCTTGTAAACATAGCTGATAAGAAGTCAAATTTTCAGAAAGAGGAAGTTCGCTTTAAGTGTACTTAAGATAATCGAAAATTGCACTTTAGCATTTTCTTTTTGACATTTTAAAACTTGAATTGCTACACATAAAGTCAAAAATAAAAATAAATTTTTTCACATAAATATAACAATAAAGCTTACATTAACATGTCAAAGAAAACTACATCAGAGTTTCTCTGATGTAATTATCTTTGACATGTTAATGGAGAAATGAAGAACACAATACCATAAAAGGTGTTCTGTTCCTTATTTTATAAAATTTGTAATTTTTGCAAAAAAGTTTTATAAAAATATAATCTTTTTGATAAATGTTATAAATATTAAGTTCGTTATTCTAAAACTGCCCATAATTATTTTTAATCAAACAAAAACATACAGCTGACTTTTTAACTTGTATATTTATCAGCAGATAAATAAATTTTCTAAAGGACCCTTTAATTTCAAGAAGGACCCGCCATAACTTACAGAGCCGTATCTCGTTAAAAACAATGAGGATTTACATTGTAAAATAAAAATAAAATTTGTTTTTGACAGTAAAAATAAAATATAAAAATAAAATATAAGCCTAACCTTTTTACTAAACAACTACCAATTTTTATTTAATTTGGTTCATAAATAGTGGCTCAATATGGTTTGGCATAAATAGTGTTTTCGCAAAGTGAAAAAAATAGATCACAGTTTTTTACTTACTTTTTTTACGGCAAATTACGGATATTCGCACGTACCTAAATTGATAGAGCACTCGCTCCTGTTAAAATAATTAGTTCACTTGGTTTATTCAGAGCAATGCCTGATTGCCTGAACCAGAGAAGAGCCTGCTCTTCAAAATAAAATAAAAATTTTGTCTACCAAATGAAGAATTTGAATTTCAAACATTTTTTAGCTATTGCAGGCTTTTTTTTAATTTTAAGCTTGTTCCCTATATCTAGATAAAGCGACTAGCATTCAGATCATGTATACCACAGAAAATCATGTTATAACGTTTCTTCAAAAGCATAAGTTAACAATCTACAATTTAAGTCATGGCAGAGGCACTTATGTTTTCTGCCTTAAATAAGGGTGTTCAAATTTCAAATGATAAAGCCAATATCCTTCAAGATCTGTTCAAGTATGTGCCTGCTGTAAATATTGCATTTTATTAGAAATTTAAAATAATTTATTGTATTGTCAAAATATATATATGTTTTATATGTTATGTTGTTAAATGGGTTTCGAAATGAAATGTTATATTTTCAATGGCCTTGCCAGAGGTGCTGGTTTTCTAATTATTCTTTAAGATATTTTTTTATTGTTCAAAGTACTTTAGATATTATGCTTTAAGAACTTATAACAAAAGTTCTATTTCGTTGTGAAGATCTTGGTACATACTTTAGATAATATATTACTTATCTTCTCGGTTAAATTGAATTTAAGACAAAATTGCGTGTTTAAATTATTTGTTCACTAGTGTAAAATAAGATTTTTTATCTAATAAAAGAGATATGTACCTTATAGTACTTTAATTGCCAAAATATACAATCATCTTGACACAATATATATAAAAAAATACTAATTTGTATTATATTTTTTAACAGAAAATGGAGATAAAACAAAATAACACTGTAATTTATAAAATAAGTGTGTGTTACATTGATTTATCTCCAAATCAGGGTGTAATAATTCAGACACCTGCACTTTAAATATTTTAATACAAAATCTTTAAAAGTGAGGTAGCTTGTTTAGAAAATCAATATAAATCAGTTTTGTTTGAGTTTTTTTATGTTAATTGGTCTGCAGGTCCAATTAAAACTTTGAACTTGATTTTCTCGGTTCGGAAAAACATGGAGATAGAACAAAATAATTCTAACCTCGCGAAATGCTGACATTGCGTATTGGATTTTTTTCAGCCTTCTTCATTACTAATTGTAGTGAAACGCAAACATTTGCAAAAATGGCAAGAGTTAAAAATGATCTCGGCTCCTCAATGTGAAATGGCTGTTTAAATTTTTATTCTTTAATAAGAATTGAAAGAACTATGTTATAAAATATACATTTTGAAGATGTTTTACTTAACTTTATCAATGTAAAAGCAAGAAAAATTTCTTTATGAATAAAAAAGTTGAATATAGTAGTATCTATAAATATCAGTAACTATAATATTATACAATACTGTATGTATTATATATACAATACTATATATTATATAGTATCATTAAATGGTACTATATAATATACAGTATTGTATATATAATGTAAACTGTA